AAGGAAACACCCCAGTGACCACCCACTCGAATGTCATTTGATCTCAACAATGCTTGACCTTGTTTCTGGTCACCCCAAACACAACCTCAAAACCCAGAATCACAAGAGACAGTCAAGAACGTCATCAAATACAACACCAGGGAACAGTGGCAGAAAGGATGGGCAATGGGCAAAATTGGAAGAACTGTATTTGCACACATGACTGCTCCCAACTAACTCTAAAGAGGCACTAAATTTCCTGAGTAGAAGAGAACAAGTCACTATCTTTCTATCTTTCGCCTGTGAACACAACACATCCCACTGAATTCCTACCTAAATAGGATCCGCAAGGATATCCCAACCGACTGCCCATTGTGTGACTGCCAGGATGAAACAGTATCACACCAACTGTTAACCTGCCCTGCACTTTGCGACCTACGTAGCACCTACCTACCTGCCTCCCGAGACATCGGAAATACTCTATACAGCGACAAATACAGCTGATAAAAACCTGTAAATTCTTTGCCATATCGACAAGCCGAAGGGCTAGAATTCAAATGGCCGCTGGATCAGAAAAGTAAAGTAAAGTAAAGTAAGCTTGTGGTCACGAACTCACAAACCACCCAGCAATCGAAGCCTTCAATGAAAAACAATAAACAGTGAGGCAGACATACCTGGCAATGTCAGCATCAAAAGATGAGTTCTGTGGGTTGAGTTTCTGGTAGCGTCTGATAAATGCATCTTTCTGGATCTCCCAGATTTCCCTGAGAAAAGACAAAATGAAGAACATCTTAGGGGGAAAAAATAGCAAGAAAAAGAAAAACCAAAGTAAAAGCTTATTATATCCCATTCCTACTGAAGACAAATCTTCGCAAATAGTAGATAGCAAATGATGCCTTAACACTTTGCCATCCTATTTTGGGGATAATCCAAAGTAACTGGGGGGGTAAACATCACCAGTCAGCGAGATGAGGTGGCAAAGTGTTAACCCTTTGAGCCTTTGCTACCAATACACAGGAGGCACATAAAACTGTCCATATGCCTAGCCACTGGTACACCAGTGAGCGAGACCCCATCACCAACCCAGCCCGCCTGAGACAAAACGTGTACGGAAAACAGTGTTTTTTCTTTTTGTAAGCGTTTTACGGCACTTGCAACACAATAAGATCAACAAGTGCCGAAAAATAGAGGTGTTACAAAAGAGAAACAAACACAAAGAAGAAGGAGTGGAGATGAAGATGATACGTGTTTGATTGGAAAAAAGAAGCAAACCACACCAGAGCACCCGCCAACCACCCACTCACCAACCTGGCCCCCGCCTAAGACAAAACGTGTACGAAAAACTGTGTTTACTACACAAGACATTGTAGATTTTTTTTTTTTTAATTTCTGAATAAGGTGATGGTATTGACAAGGACTTCTCTGAGTGGGGCTTGGAATGGGATTCTGACGAAGATATGAATGTTAATCATATATCGCTCAGGAGCTCGGGCAGAAGGGCACGGTAGCCTCAGGAGGTCAAGGCTCAAAGGGTAAAATATGGGTCATACATTTCAGGAGAAAGTATCAGAGCCGATACTTACATATTTCAACAAGTATTGAACAATGCACATCAAAACTGCATTTATACTGTTCTGAATTGTTAACACACATACACACACCAACACAAAATACCCACCAACCCACACGCTAATCAGATAAACACACACAAACACACACAAACACTCACACACACACAAACACACACACAAACACACACACAAACACACACACAAACACACATACACAAATGCAAGCACATCCTGACCCTCCAACCCCCCCCCCCATCCCCCATTCCCTTACACACACACACACACACACACACATACAACACACACACACACACACACACACACACACACACACACACACACACACACACACACACACATCTCACCTGTAAGAGTCCCAGGTGCTCAGATAGTTCTGTAGGTTCTGAGCGTTACTCTGCATGCCGGCGTTGATAATGTTCTGAATCTTCTTCACCTCCTCGTCCCTGGCAACCACCTCATTGATGGGCTGGAGGAAAAACAGAAAAGAAAAAAAAAAGATGAATTTGTTTGTCTGTAAAAAAAAAAATGGAATTCAGGGAGGTAATCTGACATGCTACTATATTCGAGAGGGTACGGTGGTGGAGTGGTTAGTGCGCTTGTCTTCAAAACAGAAAGTCCGGGTTCGAGCCTCGGTTCGGACAAGGATTTTTCTCGCCCCCTCCTGCCCACCCAACAGTAATGGGTACCTGACTTCGAGTTGGGGAAATAAAGGCGGCGAGGAAAGGAACCGACCACCCTACCACAATATGCCGAAGGTCCAGGAAGTTGTCTCACTAACAAGGCATTCCCCAATGTCCGGATAGGATGCAGTAACAACTTTACTTTATTTTTACTATATTTGACGCATTCGCTCTCTCTCTCTCTGCCTCTCTGTCTCTCTGTCTCTCATTTTCTATCACACACAATTATTACTCTTTTCCACTCTCTATCTGTTCATTTCTCTAACTCATGCTATATTACTGTCTTTACCTCTCATATTTCCTCTCCCTCTTTCTCAGTCCTTGAGTAACCCACATCTTTTGTCTACTTCTTTAGGTAAACAAGTTTGGGAATATTTTGACAAACAACTCTCTCTCTCTCTCTCTCTCTTTCTCTCTCTCTCTCTCTCTCCCTCTCCCTCTCCCTCTCTCTCTCCCTCTCTCTCTCTCTCTCTCTCTCTCTCTCTTTCTCTCTCTCCCTCTCTCCTCTCTCTCTTTTCCACCTCCCTCTCTCTCTCTCTGTCTCTCTCTCTCTCTCTCTCTCTCTCTCTCTCTCTCTCTCTCTCTCTCTCTCCCTCCCTACCTCCTTCCCTCCCTCCCTACCTCCTTCCCTCCCTCTATCCCTCCTTCTCTCCCTCCCTCTGTCCCTCCCTTTTATGAGTAACTCACATCTTTTGTCGACTTCTTCTTCGTCAGCAAGTCAGGGAGTCGTCTTACGTCCGAGATGGCCTTGATGAGATGAGTTTTGCCGATGTCGCCCACAATGGTTGCCAGTTGCAGAAGTGTTGGAGAAAACTCCACCTAAACAGTGAAAGAAAAACAAAACCAAAAAAAAAGAAAATCAGAACATGACCAGATGAAATTTAACAAAACAACCTCAAATAAATAAGTTTATCTCTTCGCTGATGGGCCACATCTTTAGACACAACAAAACCAAAGTGATGTACTATAGCGCACGACTTATTGTCAAAAATCTCCTCAACTATCGAACATAGATTCTCCAATGTTTGCACAGTGGCATGTATCAATTTGTCTTAACAGATCACCATTTTTGTAAACACCTGCAAGCTGTATTCTAGAAAATTTCTTAATAAATACTAATAAAAAATCCAAGTGGGTGATTTCTACGGATCTTTAAATGTTTACGGCTGAGACTATATTGCTTTTAATAGCAAGTCCGCCAGGTTTTTCTAATCGAGACATTATGCTTATTGAACACATGTTTTGAGAGCCATCAGTGCAGAAAAAGTGTTCACTATAAATCGAATTTCTTGTAATATGTTTTGCAAGTCAAAATTGTCATTGATGAGCTGTGACGTAGGCCACATGCATAATCAAAATGAGTGTGAGAAGCGGGAAGTGCTGTGAACAATATCATTTTACGTGTGACAGAGATTTCAAGTGTTTTATATAGCATAAAAAATATAGTAGTTTATAGAAAAGTTTTTGAATCCAGCCCCAATTGTTCTAGAAAAATATGATTTTGTTAAGACAAATTGATGCAAACTGCTATGCAAAGTATGGATGACATTGATTCACCCGTTAAAGAGACATTTGAGGATAGGTTGCGGCACAAATTTTTTACCACACTATAGGTCATATAGACGTAATACAAAACAATACACATAATTGAAAGAGAAAGTCAGAACAAATGTGTCACTAAGTGCTGGAAGCAGGCAATCGTTAATTTGGGTATCAACTTATAGCTTATTGATTTGCCTTGATTTTGGTGAAAGAATTACCCATGTATCTCGAATGCAAGTCGAGTTATTTGCGTTTAAAGGAGGTAGGGGTTGCCCGGTAGCAGAGGTAAAATCAGCAAGAAAATGGCTGCCAAAGTTTGGCAATTTCCAAAAGCTTGACAGACTTTAGAAACTGCAAATTTTAGTTTTCACGCATTAACAAACATTTTTTTCTGTAAAATCAACACGGAAATGTGTTTTTGAATGGACATAAACTATGTTGAGCCAATAAACAAAAATTCAATAAAAATTGCACAACTGTAAAAAAAAATTCCATTTTCTTCAACTTCATTATTTTGACAAGCGCCTGATTTCACCACGATGCTTCACAAATATTTTTCAAATCAACTGTACGAGCAGTGAAAATGAGCACTGCACCTACCTTGTCTCCCTCCAATATGACCTTGACCCTGAAGAGAGGGTTGGGAGCAGACTTTCCATCCCCATTGATGGCCTTGGACAGCTCTTGCAGTGACCATTTGATGTTCAGTCTGAGGGGGGTGGGGGAGGGGGAAGAAACAAGGAGCATGGTAAAAATAAAAGTTTAGCTCCCCACGCTTTCACACAACACAACGATCACACCGTTATGTTTCCCATGTCTGGAAAAACAATGATCACACGGCTATGTGAACAGAAAACAAAAATCCTGCCAAAATTCCCTTGAAAAAAGTTGTTGAGTTACAGTCCTAGAATACGCAGTGTTTTGATTTGAGTCTTTTTTGCATTTGTCCAAACTTACATGAAGAAAAAACAACTCACGCTAAACCTCTAAAAAAAATATCAAAGGTAAAGAAGTCAAACACGAGTAGTTTCTGAAACAGTCAAAGCAAATATTTAATAATAATAATAATAATAATAATAGATAGCATTTGTATAGCGCATATCCCCGCTCAGCAGCAGGCTCTATGCGCTTTACACTATATTATTACCCCAGCAGACCATAGAACACTCCGAAACATTCTCAGCTTCCCGGGAAGCATACAGTGCGA